AAGTTCACTAAGAAGCTAAGAAGGTATAATCAGTCAGTGGATGCACATAACTTAGATAAATTACTTGCCTTTTGGTTTGAACTTTTTGTTTTAGAATATGGTTAAGTTTATTGTAGATCTAGGCCTAGATTCTAGGCCAATCTGCATTATAATGTCCTTATTACATTTTTGTCAATGGAGTCAGTCATTTTAACAGTGATCACAGTGTTCACTGTTTTTACAGGTAGTGAATTAAAACTGAAGACTTGTTTAAAACTTTCTAAATTATTTTATATTGATAGAATTAGAGATAAAAACTGATAATTTTGCATCTTTTGGATGATTTGGTTTAGGAGATTGGTTATTTGCTGGTGTGTTTTTCTCTTGTGTACATTGACGTAGCTTTTTAAATGTGCAGACATTATACATAGTGACTATTGACAATTTTGAGACATGCAACATTACTGACGATAAAAGCGACATGGTGGGGAGACTACATGCGCCGACGCAGATTAGCGTCAGTGTTGTCCTCAATCTTTTCGGGTTGCGCAAAACGATGTTACACTCACCGTCGACACTATGGGTGGCTAAACTAGGTGCCTGGGACTCACAGGCAAGTTAATTAGTTGCAGGAGACGCGGTAGCTGCTGCTTGTGAGTCCCAGCCATCTAGTTTAGCCCCCATCCGCGCCACGCGCAGCGGCGCGGGGGATACGGTCGGCGATGAGGCATAGTCACAGAAACAGCTCCGCAATTAACTTATCGCGGAGATCCTGTTAGAGCATTTGTTTCGTTATACGGAGCCGATCCTAGTTTTGCAGCGATTGGTTCGTCGCCGGAAGTTTGCACATTTTTAATAGGACTGAGCCCTGCAAGGATGTTTGTTTGGCCGCCATAATATCGGGTAGAGGTTTGGAGGAGCCGAATTCTTTAAACATAAAAGGCTCAGGTTTGAAGCCTTGCATGATGTAAATGTAATACTGTATGTGACATCTGCTGCTGCTTTTGATAATATCAATGGTTAAAAACACTTTTTAAGTTGTTCTGATAGATGTCATCTATTAAACTTAAACCAGCGTATATTTTTTTGGGAATAACGGTTCCAAATTATTCACTGACAAACATCCCTTTGAGAGCTTCAAGAGGTTATGTATTAAAAACATTTAGGTCATCATCGTCAACAGTTTCTACTTCTCCCGTTATTGCTAGATGAATAGCAGTGTTTACACGTTAAGCGCTTTGGGGAGGAATCGATTTTGATCCATTGTTTGAGCATCATGTGCAGGAGTAGTAATTGGGACTTTATATATCGCATCCTAGCTGTTAACCATAACACAGTGTACCAACTGCCCTTTCAAGGGCGAACAAAAAGAAAGAAGATTACCTACCCGTGACATGACCATTGAGCATCTCTCCACGGCTAACACAGCCTAGCTGTAAAACACAAGACTGAGCAAAAAGCGCAGTTAGCTCAGCCTAGCTGTAAACCACAACACAACATGCCAGCCGCCTTATAAAGGGCTAAAGAAAATCACCCATTGGGGTTCGAACACCGGTTACCCGTGTGACAGGCGGAATATTTACAATTGTACTACCGAAGAATCCAGCAAATGGTGGACATGAAATTCTATAATAACGCGAAGGATAGTTTGAAGTTTTCCTATTACATAGATTTAACTACATGACCTCTTGAGGCATTAACTAAATGACCTCTTAAGGCCCTAAATAAAAAATTTTCAACAGTGAATAATTTGGAAATGATATATCGGAAGAGTGCCATTTTGTTAATACGTTAAAAACACATGCAAAAATAATGGGTGATAATTAGTAACCAAATATTTTTAGCACACTTATTTTTAAGAGACTTTTGTTGTTGTTGAGCTAGCAGGTTTGTAGAAGTATAACTGTGTGTATTTTCTACAAGAAAGCAGTTATTGCTGGTGGTAACTTAATGAAAAGTGGTGCAGTGATTTTAGTTACATGCACGGGGACAAGTTAAGATCATTGTGATATGGTAGTCTGGTAGTCTTAGTTTCAGCTTCATAGCAAACGGGTCACCCCATCTTTGCTCCGCTCCTGTGCCAACAAAAAACACAGAATGTTTATCACAGTCCCTTGTGGAAAGATTGACAGACTGCTGTCTCAGCATATCTAGCTTACACTCGCATTAAAGCATACGGTAACCATCCGAAGTGCTAACACAAACAGTCGGACATTAGAAATGCAGTTCATCATTGATGGTAGCAGAAGTCACCAACAGATCAACCTACGCGATCAATTTTAATCACATATGGGCACAACCAACATTGCATGACAGGCATCGTGTCATTTTCTGAATATACAATTCACACCACCACGTTGGTCACAGTCGAAAAAACTATCCAAATGAAATCCGCAGCTCACAGTGTCACGCCATGCATTCAACTAAGAAGCTGGGCGACGAAACTATGTCCGGTCTACAAATAGATCAAAAATGCATCAGCCACCGTCAGGCAGAAGCAAAAATAATTGCCTCGGCTTTAAACAGTGCCCCTGCCTAGCCTCCATTTTGACCGGAAGATCACTGTGATATGTATTAGGGCAGTGGTTCTCAACCTTCCTAAAGCCGTGACCCTTTAATACAGTTCCTCATGTTGTGGCGACACTTTAATATGGTTCCTCATGTGGTGGCGACCCTTTAATATGGTTCCTCATGTTGTGGCGACCCTTTAATACGGTTCCTCATGTTGTGGTGATCCTTTAATACGGTTCCTCGTGTTGTGGACATCCCAACCATAATGTTATTTTCGTCGCTTAATAACTTCAGTGAAAATTTGTTCTGCGATGGTCTTTGGCAACCCCTGTGAAAGGGTTGTTCGATGCCAAAAAAAAGGGTCCGCCTGTAAGATTAGTTTTAAAAAGAAAGGAAAAACCTTACTCCATGCTTATTCGAGCTCAAAACTTTCAGGTTGGCTTAACAAGAATAAATACATTGCAGGTCGTAGAGTTGTGAGCTGGGTAGAACTGTAAATGCAAAAGCAAGTTTTCTTTGTTTCTGCTTCAGAAATATTTATTGCTGCGTAGAAGCCATTGACTGATGATATTATGTGACCCCTCAATTTATTGTTTAGTTAGATCAGAAACAGGTGCAGAAAGGTTTGTTTGAAAAAAAAATTACAACATACAAGGTCAAGTGTGCATGTTGTGTAAATTAAATATCCCCTACTGTCTGAAGTAACAAGGTATATGTTTTTGTTGGCAGTTGCCCTGATGCAGTTGTTGGAAGAAAAGACTAAATCTACCGTAAGAGCCTGTTAGTTTGGTTTAATATTCAGCTATCTTCCGAATAATGGTCCCAAATTATCGAGGCAGAAAATATACCCTAACAGGGCCTCAGTCACGTGTCAGTTGCGGACTTCCGGCGACTTTAATTGCACACTTCCAACTACTGCCACCGGCACATCTCCTGCAGCTTTCTTCATTTTATTTGCTTGCAAGTCCTAGCCATCTAGTTTAGCCCCAATCCAATTTAGCTGCGTGGGAGAATATCTCGGCGGTGGCGAAGTCCACAATTGACATGTGACTGAGGCTCTGTTAGTGTATATTTTGCCTTGATAATTTGGGACCGTTATTCGGAAGATAGCTGAATATTCTTGTAAGCTGCACATGTTTGTGAACTAGCACTTATAGATTTCTCTTGAGTTGAAAGGGTTAAGAAAGAAAGAAGCTAGTTATGCCACCTCATATTGACATAATGCATATGTCATAACTGATAACTTCACGTCCCGTTAGTATTTGTCATGAGATGAAATTTTGTTGTGTGGGATATTGTTTATATTTTTAACTGTGTGATTTAAGCAAATAATGCAGCTGAATTAATTTACACTTTTCAACTGCAGGTGTGTAGATAATAAAGATTAACCACCATAATCCTTTTGTGCGATTATACATCATAAAGAGCATGGATTCTAGTCCGCTATTTCCATTATGTCTTGTGCAGTCTTTGTGGTGTCATGGATGATATCATATCCAGCACCATTGGCTTCTCTCGGCAGCATTTTTTTAAGGGTTTCTCTTGACCACAGTTTCCTTCTCATGTTTGCCCAATATTTTACCCTCTTTTTCTTATAACTGTTACTACAAGCAGTTGTCCAGATACTTCTCTTATGTATCCCATTATTATTGACAAGACAACAGCAGCATTTAAAAGCCTGAACAAAATAGGAAACTTTAAATTAGAGTTTTAAAACCAAGTTAAATATTTTTTTAAAGCTTTAATATTTATGAATGAAGATTGGAAACATTAAAGACATGAACCAACAGTTGAATACATTTGAAAACAAAATTTTAATCTGGATGAGCTCACTTATATTTTAATTTTTGTATAACAAATTTTTTATGCTTTTTATAATAGTTGATGAGTTAAACTCTGCAGTAGTAAGTTCTGTAATCAGTTTGTATCATAATAAATCACTTGTTTGTCCTATTTTACTTCACAGAGCTCTTTTCTGCTGGGTTGAAATAAATCAAGCCAATGAAAGACAAAAGACTGTCAGTGAAATTGCAGTTCATGAAACTTCTTACGAAATATACTAGCCAGAATAGCCGCCCTTAGTGCTGCATTCAGTGGCTTGAGATTGTGCTTTCATAACTGCATGTAAAACCAAATTGCTGATCATTAAATTGATTTCTATTTATAGATGAGATCTGAAGTTTTAAAGGTTCAGAAGTGAATAGAGGCACACAAATTCAGTTAAACATGTAATTACAGCATGAGTTTAAAGAATGTTCATATGGTGACTAAAACAGATTGAACAAGTTTTAGAATCAATTATTAATATTAAAGAACATACGTACCACAGACTTTCTGAAGGAATATAGAACTTTCTGTGGATTATAATGTAAAATTTAAAACATCTTCGTGTCCCAGGAAGCGGATAAGATACTTCTTCCTGACACTTTTAAGAAATTCCGCTTGTTTAGTTGCACTGACTCTGAAAGATATGAAGAATTAGATTTCAGTTGGTATTTCAGTTGTTAAAAATGCCTGTAACAGGAAGTGTTGATCAGGAAATTCGCACACAGGAGTCTGTGGAACAGACTGGCTCTCTGGAGGGTGATCATGCTGCTGAGAGGTCATCGCTTTCAGAACACATCTTAGATACCAGTGGTGCTGAAGTGTCTAGTACAACTGTTGATTCAGATCTGGTTTCAGAAACTGGTCAGGCTTTCACTCTTCCTGGAGATGTATCTGATCATGTGCAGTCAACATCCACGGATGGCTCTTCTGATTTTATTGATGGAAGCAAAGACCAGACTACCGCAGTTGATGAATCTGCTTCTAAGGAGAGCTCTAATGTTGGTTCTGCTAATTCAGCCAGGGGTTTCCAGGATGCATTTGCTGCTTTTGCATCAGCTTCTTATCAGGAAATAGAAGGTGAAAGTTCATTGGATGTGTGTAATAATGTCTCTGATACTACAGCATCGCATCCGGTAAACATGCCTTCTGCTGATTCCCTTGTATCTTCCGCTATTGACTCTGGGCAAGTCACAACAACAGGAGATCCACTGGTCGGATCTGAAAATGACATGGAACCGACGCAGCCATTTAACACTGATGGCGATCAGTTGCAGACCACACCATTTCCAGAACCAGATACGGACAGCCAGCCCACACATGAAGCAGAACAAAGTGACATCAGTGATCAGACACCACATACACATAGTGATCCTCAGCCTGCAGAAGCTGGTTCGTCCAGTGATTCTGTTTACTTCATCCAGACAACAGATGCTTCAGGTCAAGTCGTCACCTCTATCATAGACCCCAATGATATTCCATCTTATTCTAACTCTGTAGTCTATAAGCAGTGCATGAGATCTGACGGGGAGATAGAGACAACGATTGTGTATTCTGATGGCATGGCTGTTAACCAAGAGCAACAACCTGAAGAGCAGCATCCAGAACAACCAGCAGCAGATTCTGGAGAACCAGATTCTCCGCAAGAGGAGCCGCAGATTATTTATGCCCACGATGCTAATGGACACTTGACACCGATCGATTCTGCACAATCATTTAGCGAAGCAGCTCCGCCTGGTAAACAGTTTGTTTACATGCAGGATTCTAGTGGTCGGATTATACGAACTGTAATGGATGCCAACCAAACTATGGTACCTGGTCAGCAGGTGTATTACACCCAGAGCGAGGATGGAAGGATGATCACATCTGTGATGGACCCTGCCTCTGCAGGGGTCACAGAAGAACCATCACAGGGGCAACAGTCACAGGAGGCATTTGATCAGATGTATCAGCAGCAGCAGATGGATGAGGCAGGTGTTGCAGCAGCGATGCAGCAGGAAACCAGCTCCACCATGGTGGGCTCATCTAACTTTGACATAGACAGCAGCATGAGTGGCTTGAACATGCTGGCCGAGCTGTCGCATCTGACATCAGGTCAGGGTAAGTATGTTGTCTTAATGAGTGTTGTAACTGATTGTTTAGAACTGTCTGTCAGAGTACATCTACCTGAGAGGCAGGGCACCAACAGTTTGCACACAGAGAAGCCAAATGTGTAAAAAAAAATGGATGTGTACAATCAAGTCATGAAATTTCTGTGTGGAAAAGAATAGATGCTCCCCACCCCACCCCCCCACCCCCCCCCACCCCCCATAAAAAATAAGCAACAACAAACATTTCATCAAAGTGGACTCGTTAGGTCTGTTTATGCTTCCTTTGAAGAGTTCATCTGCCTGTGAGGCCAGGAACCAGCAAAGTGCACTCAGATAAGCCTGATCTCTGTAAAATGGATAGGCATGCAACACTAAATTCTGGAACAAGATGAAAGTCTAGAAATGTACGAACACCCAGGACTTCCGAGCAGAGTCTGTAGCCTGTGAACATAAAGAAAAAGATTATCTTCTGTTGCTAGACATTTGCCTGCCAGGCTGAAAGTCTCCAGGTAGACCGGCATCAAATCAGCTTTTTAAAATGACTTCGGCTTTCAGGTTGACCAGGCAACAACAAAAAAAGTTCCATGGGATGTCCTGGGAATAAAGATGTCCAGATTCTAGAAAAACAAAGGCGGTGGAAGACTTTAAAAAAAAAAAAAAGACAACTTGTGTGCCAGTTGGATTATAAAATATACCATATGCCTGATGCACAAATGGCATGAAAGGGTCCCTTTAAAAAAATAATAGGACTAAGTTAAATATGCAAATATTTCTGTTTAAAAGACATTTAAAAAAAACTGTAACTTTCTGCCTGTATTGACCACTTTTGGGGTGTAAGCAGAGGTTCTTTAACCTGAAGATTTTGGGGCGCATCGCTAGTTGCCATGAACTCGGCAGGTTAGGATTTTATTTTTGCCCTAGACAAAAAAAATCAGCGACTTTACCGAGAATTCAAATCTGGGTCTTCTAATGAATGCACAACATTTTTAACGGTTTGGTCACTCGCTCCTGAAGACATTTCTTTTAGGGCTATAGACTGTTAAAGATGTGTCCATTGTATTTTACTAAGATACGTTATTTGATGTTTGCTTCTTCTTCGCGTTTACTGGCTGTAAACTCTGGCTGAGAGTTCTGGTTGTTTGTCCACTTCTGGACTTCAGTCTTGTTCCAGAACCTGAGATTTGGCATTCACATATCATTTTACAGATCTGGCTTAATTATTTGCAAACTCTTGGTTCGTTGCCTCTCAGGCAGATACACTTTAAAGAAAACATCCCTAATTAGTTCCCTTTTACGACTTGCTTGTTGTGGAGAGGCCAGTGGGTCTATTCTTTGTTCTGAGGATTTAGGTCCACACTGCAAACTGTACAGGTTAGGGAGTTTGATTTTGGACCCCCTGGGGGTTGAACCAGGGTCTCCCGCATGAGAGCCTCATATTGTAACCGCTCCGCCAGCTGCTCCTCACCCTTTATATAATGGCACATAATCATATCTTGGATGAAGCTTATATTTCATTTTAATATTGCCAGGATTGGCCACAGAGCAAATAACAGCATCAAGCACTGACAGCAATTCCATGGATCAGGATGATTTCAGACCCATTGCCATGGTGACCAGGCAGATGGCAGGTGATGAAGGCTTGGAGTCAGTCAGCTCTGAGATTGCAGATCTGAAAGTTGGTGAGGCAGATTCTGATAGTCGTGACCAGAGCCCTACTCTGTTACATGCAGATGGTACTGGTGAGCCTGCCACCTCTACATTGTTTTCTGGCATGATTGTGTTTTCCCCCTTCATTATAACTAACAGCTCAGTGTTACTTTTATTTTAGTAACAGGTAGCTCCAAATGATAATTTTACAAAGCCTTGAAAGGAAGCTAATTTTGATATTAGCATCCCATTACCTAGCATGGAGTGACAAATGCTAGAATCAGTTTACTTTGAATAAATATTGTATGGTATTGCTTGCTGTATTTTATCCTTGCTTTGCTTCAAAACTGTGTTGCCATCCCTTTTGTGTGTGTGTTCCAAGCAGAAAACATTTGCCTTCTATTATTTATATAGTTAAACTTTTGTAATTTGAAAACTAATAAATTCTGCCAGAAAACATTGTACAAGGTTAAATGCATGGTTCTTTTCATAATTTTGATTAGTGTTATCATATTTATGCAAGCATTGGTAAAGTTGTACTATTTGAAATTGTTTGAATCAGGGCTAAAAATACTACTGGGAATCGGTCCTGTTGTCCTAGCCAGGGGCCAGCACATGTGTTTGCAAATGTGGGCGAGGAAAACCACAAATCAGCTTAATGAATTTATCAAGTAACAGAAAGTGTATTGATCGGCACTCATAGAAAGAAGTAGAAAGATAAAAGAACACACTAGACAACATAAAAATCGAAAGCTATTTAACAAGGTGAGGGGGGGTAGTGCCTAGTTGACCATGTTCTTAGTGCACTTGTATCCATGGCGAGGCGCACACAGCGCCTGGGGGTGACATGTTTAGTTCCCGACACAGTACCTATAGCTTTCGATTTTTATATTGATTTTTCTACTTCTTTCTATGAGTGTCAATCAAGACACTTTTTGTTACTTGATTAATTCATTTCATTTAACTTCCTCAGAGGTTCCCCCTCTGTTTATTTATACAAATCAGCTTAAGAAACAGCTGCACGCTGGGGGTACCAGATACCACTTTTCATGCACCATGACAGCCCTGTATCTGTAATTGTCTATCCTTGATTTTACCCTTTCCCCACAGAACGTCTATAGCTGCACACATTATTTCTTTATGAGACTAAGCTTGACAGGTTTCACCAGACCAAATTCTGTCATTGTACTGAAGGTTTTTATCAGTCAATCAAACGCTGTCATTGCACTAAAGATTTCAGTCAATCAAATGCTGTCTCGGCACTAGGTTTCAGTGAAGAAAATGCTATCTTCACATTGAGGGTTTCACTCAAGCAAATGCTGTCTTCACACTGAAGTTTAGTCAATCAAATGCTGTCTTCACTTTGAAACAGTCACACTGAAGTTTTCAGTTAGTCAGATTTTGTCACCGCAATGGTGTGCAGTAAAATATTTCCATTCTGAAGACTGGCACAAGTCGATCACAATCATTTTGCCTCTTACTCTTATACTTCTCTTACAAGCTGGTGTTATAAATTACCTGCCTACCAAACTGTCTTTACTGCTTCTTTCCACAATATTTTGTTTTTAAAAAAAGGAGTGTGTCTTTTATATCTAACTTGTCTTTTTTTAAAGTCTTCCACCGCCTTTGTTTTTCTAGAATCTGGACATTTATTTACCATTGTTTTCCTCACATGCCACCTGTTTTTTTGTTTATTTTCTAGGGCTTTATTTGGTTGTTCAGTACATTTGTTATTTTGAGTTCCAAGTGTATTTTAGTAAAATTTGTTTGCGTCACAAGCTTTCTTTTTGCGTGAGCTTATTGAAATCATACATTCATTTGTACAAGACGTGTTGATTGTAGCAGACATGGTGTAATAATGACACTTTGTTGGCCTGCTGGCTGCAGGTTGTTGGGTACAAACAATATTGAGTGCCCAGTAGAGTCGATAGTCATAAAAGTGATAAGATTTTCAAAAATGACTTTGGCTCTAAGGCCGACCCATTAAAAATGTTGTGCCAGATAAAGTCCTGTGAATTAAATACGGCTGGCGTTTATGTTGTCATTACTCATTGAGTGCCAGTTGAGCTGTATGGGTCTATAAAAGTATCATATGCCTGATGCAGCATTGCAGGAAAATGATCCTTTTACTTTTGTATTGAACTCAGTAAGTGCCGTAAGCATGCAGTGCATGTTTTGTGTAGATGAGAAAATTAAGCAGGTCATCAAAATTTTGCAGAAACCAATCCTAAAAGAATGACTGAATATAGATAAACTACAGTTAAAAATGCAGCGTCCGTGGCTAAGGCGTTGCGAGTCTGGCTCGTAATCCAACGTAATATAGGTGCTCTTCCCATATGCCCGATGCGCCTAAGGGCGTGCAAAGAGGATTTTTTTTTTTTACTTACAGTTAAAAATAAACGTGCGTCTATTGTTGACAAATAAAATAGCCTATCATAATCAGGTTTACAGATAAGAGAGCTTGCCTTGAGTTGTTTGAGGGCCTAGGCACCATTGATGATGAAAAGAAGAAGACGGTGAGGCAGAAATAAAAATTTCTTCAGTTAAGAGTAATATTTCTTTCTTGTATAGTATTTTCTAGATCCCCCTAGTAATTTCCTGCTAAACCCTTCAACTGGTTACGCTTCTGCATTGTTCACTTACTTTCCAAGGACACGCCTGGCTTATCATGCATCAGTTCACTCCCCAGGGGTGCAGAACCAGCCAGTTTCTGTTTGTTTCCTAACATATCAGAAAATATCCAAAGTATGCTAATTACCTTTGACCTCTGAATTGATGCATGCCACTGCACAGAGCAAAATTTAGTGATGTGAAATGCAGTTTTCCTTGATGTAAAGATAAGGTTCATCCTGTATGTTTGTGTATCTCTGAACAGGGCAGGAGGAAACCCTCGTCACTAAGTTTGTATCTGAGATGAAGGAAGAACAGCTGCAGTCATGCACAGTGTCTCGGGACAATTTATTCGTTCAGTGGCAAAACTTGGACGCCATGTGCTGGATGGATGTTGTTCTTATCATGCTGGTGAACTCGCCCTCTCTTCGCCTTTTGGTTAACCTTGACCCTGCACATGAGCTGGCGTCAACGTTGCTAATTACTCTTCTGAAGGCTAACAGACAAGCACAGGTAAGATTGTAGTACCACAGCTTTTAAAACGTTTTAAAGATGGTCATGAGTTTATCTTCACGGCAATCCAGGCGTGGCTGATTTTTTTTTGGCTGCTGTAATTATGTGAATTACTTTATTCTGTTGGAGAGTTTAGACTGTTCAGTGGAATTTGGTGTATTATTCGGAATGCTACAAATGATTGTTATTAGTGACGAGACGGTGAGATCCTTTAGTTTATCTGCCCACTTTGTTATTTGACTGATTATATTTCACAGTGTTGGTCATTGGCAATGGCTATTGTGTATAACATTGTGGGTCTTTTGATAGCAGTACTTTTGATCTGCTTCACTGCAGGTCAGCCTGGCTTATACACCAATAATTGCCGTTGTAGGCTGGTGACTTCAGGAGTGGGCCCATATGCCGAATACATCTTATGTTGCGGATTCACGTCAAGTCGAGGCTAAGTGTTGCCGTTTGAGGTGATGCTGCCTTGGGAGTAATCCATTGTGTATTTGGAAGGCAGTAGCAGACTGACTGTAGTCATCGATCACCAGTTCATCTTCATCGTAATGTGTTTGTCCACAATAAAGAGACTGATTGCACTACAAGATCATACTTGGCGTGGTGTAGTATATTACAGTTCTTGTAAACAATGTTGGTGGTTACAATAGGACATGTTGGCTTGTTACTGGTCCGATCTTATAGTGGTCCTGTCATCGTTGGCCTCTTTGCTCTCCTTTAGGAACCTAATAGTCATATTGTTGGCTAAGGGAGCTCTTGAAGGTGACTAGAGCAAGTCAAACACCCTGGGTGCTTAATAGGATGTGTTACCTCCTTAGAATGTATATAACAAGATGAAACTCCTGTTTATCAATCGATTTTGTGAAAGTGACAGGCATTATTGGTTAAAATACTGTGGCTTATACAAGTATGAAATATTCGACACCATGTGGCATTGGTAGTCATACCTGTCCACAGCCGTATGTCTCCTGTACTTGTGATCATTTCTGATACAAATGATCTTCCATGCTGTAACACCAAACTTCCTTCTTCTTCTACACGTTCACCAGCTGTAAACGCCAGCGTAAAATTTTGGTTGTTCGTCCACTTCTGGGCTGCAGTCCTGTTGCAGAACCTGAGTGTTGCGTGTGTATCCATTTTACAGATCTGACTCATTTGTTTGTAGACTGCTGGTTCCTTGCCTCTCAGGCAGATGCACTCCGACTTTGAAGGAAGCCCCCAATTAGTCGACTCTTACAACAGGCTTTTGGGTAGGCAGTCGGTCTATTCTTGTTTTCCCTATAATAGGGCCCCGGAACCCACACAGGGATGACACCAAACTATCCAGCAGCTTCTCCCTTGGTCTTCTTATGCTTCTCTTCCCTTGCAACTCATCACAGTGTACGCCAATTTTCCTCTTCTCATGAGGTGACTAAAGAATCCTTAGAATTTCTTGGACAGCTAAAAAAAAAAAAGCTACCTAAATGTTTTGAATGATGCAAAGTCTTGATGACAACTTATCACATACATTGAAAGTGTCATTATTTTATGGTCGCAGTAGAAATGGAAACTGGGACGTGTTGTGACCACTGGAAAAATCTTAAGAAGGAGACAGAGAGACAACACAACGCTCAAAGATTCTCATCTTTTTGTCATGGCACAGAGGGGTATAAACACTTAGACTGATACATGCTGTTAAAGATCGCAGATTGTGGAGAGACATGATTGTTCACACCAGTCGGCAAGGCACTTGATGATGATAACCAAATAATGTCTTTTCATGCTGGAAATAGTTCTGGATCGCCTCCATTAACCAGACTAATATCGTAACTGCCGTCCAGCATTTACATGCACACATAAAAACCAATCGCACACAAACTTCTATTATACCAGGCTTGTGTTTCCTTTTTCTGTTTGCACATTATACTGAAATAGCAGTTTTTATGTGATGTGTTTTTGCTTTACATAATTTGCTTGTCAATTTCAGATTATCTTGCAAAACATTCTGAAGAAGAGCAGTGGAGCAGAAATCAGCAGTCTCCAAACGGGAGCTGGTAATTCAGCCTCAATTCAGGACCCGAAGACATCCAAGCTGGTCTGTAAGGAAAACATGGATGAGATAGGACGGGCGATCAACATACTGTATGCCATGCGAGAGAAAATCTGGCAGGCGCTGCAGCCTAGGCTCCGCTGTGAGAGGGGGAAACATAACAGCCCTGTTTTGGTGCTGCCGCTCCTTGTGCGGGAAAAACCCGTAATCAAACAGATGTTTACAATGAACTACAGATACGTGTTTAAGGTAATTGTTTCTCTGCATACATTATTAATAGTGTGGCATTGTGGCTTAGAGCAGCATTCTTCAACTATGGGCCAAGGCCCACCAATGGGCTGTAAAACTGTTTTCCCCGTTTTAGGGGCCATGAGTGTAAAAAAGGTTGAGAAACATTGGCGCAGAGGTTAGTGAGCCATGATCCTTGAGTACTGCAGATGGCTGCCTGCTAAACTTTGGTAGTTTCAGTGAAGAGGGATGTTGCCATTCTTCGCTCGCTGTCTTCGTTTCTTGCTCGTGATATTGAACCCAGGTTTTATCTGCAGTAACAGTTTTTGATAGGATACCATAACATTCTGCTTCAAAGTGGCGCAGAATTTCTTGACAAGCATCAGTGCATTGTTGTTTCAGTTCTAGAGTAAGACAGATGATATAGTGTGCTTAGCCTTGACTGATGTCAGGATGTGCAGCACTGTCACTCACAGTCAGTCCGCGGTTTTCCTGTACGAGGCCTTTGACCACTGCAGTCAACTCTGGGGTCGCTGCTTGGTGTGTATGCAAGGTCGCGGTGAATTTCTATAGGTTTCCCTGAATCATGACTGTCAAAAGTGGGGCCGCCATTGCAACTCATCTGGCCTTTTTATTTTACACTGACTGTTGGTTCCTCGCCTCTCAGGCAGTTGCACTTTGAAGGAAACATCCCTGATTGATTGACTCTTCTGACATGTAGTGGGGCGAGTACAGTTCTTTTTTCTCTCCACAATGGGACCCCCGGAACCTGCATGGGGATCTTTAACAACAATTTTTACAGCGTTTTAGGGCAGTGACTTTGTTATTATAATTTTTGTTGCACCTTTCAGGGGGGCTGCGTGGTCTCCGCATGGTGTCTGCCTCAAGTGCTAGAGGTTCCGGGTTCAATCCCCAGTAAGGGCTAGGATGTTTTCACGTGGACTTCTAGTAATTTCCCCTGGTCTCTGGGTAGTGAGATCAGACGCCCGTGTGCATTGTTGCGCACATAAAAAATCCCTTGGCAGTTGGAAATCAAAAAGAGTAGCATAAGGCAAAATTTGGAGTTAAAAATCTACCCAAAGTATTTCAGGATCTCTCGCTAATGCTACAGAGCCTTTTCACTGTGCTGAGCTTCTTCGGACTTCCACTTGAGTTAGAAGAAGAATACAGCACTTATGGGTTACACCCGTGTGCCATCATGATATTGATCCGTTGTTCAAAACCTCAAAAAACCTTACACTTTTCATGTTTTATTTGAAACCCCATCGTAAAAAAAAAAGCAGAATATATATATATATATATATATATATATATATATAAACATTTACAAAGTGTATAATGACCACATTATGTTATTGCCCGTACCCAGTGTAAACAGTGTGGATACACCCAGGATGACAGCCACACTAAGATTCTTCCCAGCATTCCTGCTGTGCCTGAAGATTTTACTATGCAGTCACCCTGTTTTGTCCGAAACTGCTTTGAATGCCAAGCACCCAACCAGCGAATGTTGATGAAGTTTGAACTGTAAGTCTTTTTCATTTTGTAGAGGTTTTAGCCATTTTTACATATTTTCTTCCCTGGCCGCTTTCACTCTTAGAAAGATGGTTGGCATTTAGAACTAGGTTGTGATAGCTGTGCCTTTCAGCCTTAATGTATCTGATCTCAGCAAATACTGAATTAGTTTTCTTTTAGGACATGCTGGCTAAGGAACCTGTTCCACTCACTCAGGCAAACCTAGGGCCCTAGCACACAGGAAGCTAGAACTAACCTGGTTGCCTCTGAGGGAAGGCGAGCATTGTCAGAGATAAAAACAACATTGGGGGAGGGGGGGGGGGGGGTCTTATTTGAATAGTTTTGGCACTAACTGAGTTTCTTATGTAACCTGTAAAAAAAAAGTCAATAGTTCCATGAACTTACCTGGAAAAAAAAACGAAATTCCTTAAATTAACATGGAAACTCCAGGTAGCCTCTACAAGAACATCCATAAATTTCATGAACTACCAGGTAACAGTCGGCTCTGCGGCTAAGTCGATGTGAAGGCTTCGAAATGCCGGGATGCCGGGTTCGATCCCAGCTGCGAGTTATGCGCCTTGCGTTGGTTTCAACAGTGGTATCAAGAAAGCCGACTGTACAGAAAGCAATGGCAAACTACTGGACGTAATTTGCCTAGAAAACCCACACAACAACCAGGGGCTGTTAGGGTTGGTTCTGCAACATCCTGTAAAGGATACACAACTAACTAACTAACCAGGTAACCATAGTTATTAATTTGTTTTTTTTTTTTTTTTTTTTTTTTTCACTATTAGAAAAAAACAGAATGTGACCTGTCTGGTTATAAGAAAGAGTGTCTTTCTAACACATAACATAATGATCCAAAGTCTTTCAGTAACAGACTTGACTGATTTACCCCACAAATCTGCATGTCTGTATTAACAAATCCCAGATACTGATATCAAATGGTAGATTTCCCCGTGTGGGTTCCAGGGCCCCATTGTGGGGAAAACAAGAATAGACCCACTGCCTCCCAAAAAGCATGTCGTAAGAGTCGACTAATTGGGGAGCTTCCTTTGAAGTCAGAGTGCATCTGCCGGAGAGGCAAGGAACCAATAGTCTGTATTCAAGAGAATGAGATCTGTAAAACTGATGCACACGCAACACTCAGGTTCTGGAGCAGGACTGCAGTTCAGTAGTGGACGAGCAACCAGAACAGCTGGTGAACGCGAAGAAGAAGAAGAAGAAATGGTAGATTTACATTAACTAGGTAACAAGCATTTTATGCAAATACTTTTATACATACAATTTAAGATCCTTGGACTTGAATCAAGTGAATATTCCCTTTAAAAAAAATAAAAGGAGAATGGGTAATCTATTTTATTTGTAAAATCTTATTGTGATGAGATTGTATAAAGTAATTTATCTACTGCCTAATACTAAAATACAAATACAATTAAATGAATGAAAATGTGACCGTACTTGACCTTGGTGAGCAGGGCTGAGTGCCTACTAGGATGAGGCTGAGGAGATGCTGTTTGAAACGAGAGTCCCCTCCCGATAAGACTTCAAGAATCTGAAATTCTGATGTGTACATTGAATTTAATTAAAATTGTTGTTTTGTTTGTTTGTTTAATTTTTGGGGTAAACATGAATGAGAGTAATCAATAAGCATAAACTGAGAGAAGAAGTGACTGAATTTTATTTCATTGGACCTAAACAAATGTGTTTGGGGACTTATGTTGTGTTCCCATCAGAATTCTAACACTAAGACTGTGGGTCAATTATGAAGTCAAAAATAGCATTTTGTTTACAAGATGGTGCTATGTTTAGGAAATGTATTCATATCCTGAACTAAACACTGTGCAGGTGCAAACACAACTAGTTGCATCTGTGAGATATGCCACTATAGAAATATTGGATAAACTGCACTTATGAGATTGAACCAGTGTGGGATATGCCAAGTTTGTGGCTACTCTAGGCAGAAGGTTAAATTAATTGGGAAGCAACCTGAAATGGTTCAGCCACCTAGTGAGAATGAATTCATTAAGACAGCGAGAGCGCACAACATGAAACTGGAAATACCAAGAGGCAGAGGGAAACTAGAAAAATATGGGTCGAGAGTCACTGAAAGCCTGAGATGTGACATCATCACAGAATACCAAGCATTTGAGTGGACCCTGGTTCGACTATGTATCATTTGTTCGTCTGCAACGCCTAGCAGCACAGATGCTGGCCACACACACAAAAACCCATTAAGAAAAAAAAAGCATATTCTTCACAGATGTAGCAAACAAAGCCCAGGTTTTGTGGTTTCACTAGGCACTTTGGTTCTTAATTTATAACGTACCCCAAACACGAAATTCCCGTGGGAAATCCACAGCTGACCTGACAGTCCATTATTTCAAGGGGTACAAGTGTGCTGTTGTGTGGTGCTGTTTTTGAGTGTTCATCTAGTGTCTTCTAACCCTAATCCTAACCCGAACTCTAACCCTAACCCTAAACTTGGCTGTAGATAAATCGCGAGAAACTACAACCTGATCACCCTATAATTTATTGGGCACGTCTCCCGTGACGTTGTCGTGACGTCAGGGGTAAGTTATAAATTAAGTACCGGCACTTCTGTATTCATTAGTTTACCATTGCCGTCTCAACGGTTTGACACTGATACAATCTGAATCAAGAAGACAGAAACAGTAAATTGCACGATTTATTGCCTAGCATGTTTCGCTGTGTCTCATCAGGTGCATACCACAGTAACAATTGCATAAATGAAGCAAATAAGTGAATCGTTTATAATTAAAGTACAAATTCAACAACAGTCAAATGCAACTGCTTGTTTAACTAGGGCAGCCATACTGTGGTATGCACCTGATGAGATACAATGAAAATAAGCCGGGCAATAAATTTTCACAATTTTTTGTTTGTGTCTTCTTTGTTCAAATTTACAACTGAGAAACATTGCTCATACAATTGTCAAAATCATTGCAAAGCTGTCTGCTGCCAAGTCACCTGCAACTGAATCAGGCTCTGAATGTCAGAATTTTTAAAACTGCGCTCGTAACCACGTAGTAGGTCAGACAAGGGGGTGAGTGCAACTAGAGCTGTTTCTCTACTATAGATTCTCCTAACAAAAATCAGCGTTGCATATTGCTTATATTTTAACACTTTTTTTTACTGCTTATATTTTAACACTTGTTTTTAAACTCCTCAGACTTCATGACTTTGTTCAGATGCATTTTGTGAAGGGGCTCCCTCACAGCAGATTTGATGAGCTGAGCTTTGATTTCAACGATGATCACTATGAGGTGACCGCTGTCGTCCACTACAAGAACAACCCTGACCATTTCATAGCTTGGGTCAGAAATGCTCCAGGTGTTTACATTGTTTTCCTTGAATGAGTGAAGGATTGACATTATTGTACTACACTTGGGACAATCCCGTACGCCGTACCTTTCTTTACCAGCCAACAAAGAGTTGGCATGTCAATAGTACGAGTTGCAACTTGATTAAAAGTCTGCCTGTTTCTGTATTTCTACCTATGTTAAATATCTTTTAGAACCTCAACTCACAGCCACATGCAGGCCCCCCCCCCCCCCCCCCGCCCCTTTTTTCCCCATTTGAATTAGTCTTTCACTTGTTTTCTTTTTAAACTCTTAGTTTTTAGATAACCAGTTAAAAAAAATGGATAGTCTCATGACAGACATGTCAGAGGAGTGTGAACTGTATGGTCACTTTATATTGATGTGAGGGGATCAGTCTTTTTTCTTGCCGTCTGTGGGCCGGGGTGGCAGAGATGATTACACAAAAAGACTACATGATGTCCTGTGAAACTAACGTGGCAAGATAATCTGGACCAAAAATACCGGATGAAGTGTGATGTGACTGTAAAGGCGCAGTCTTTGTGTATTTATTGTAAATGTCAACAGTACAGTTAGGTTACTCGGGCGAAGAATAAATAACATGACGTGACCAGCTTCTTTCAGTCCTGCATAATCTCTCTATCTGGTAACTTGTTGTTTAAACCAGGTAGAGGGATTGTTTAAGCTGGGAGGTCAGAAAAAAATCCCTCCCTTTGCTGAAACTGTATCTGTATGTTAGCTAGAAGAATACATGTATGTACCAGCTGAGACTGTATCTGTATGTTAGCTAGAAGAATACATGTATGTGGCAGCTGAGATTGTATCTGTATGTTAGCTAGAAGAATACATGTGTGTGGCAGCTGAGATTATATCCGTATTTTAGCTAGAAGAATACATGTATGTACCAGCTGAGACTGTATCTGTATGTTAGCTAGAAGAATACATGTATGTACCAGCTGAGACTGTATCTGTATGTTAGCTGGAAGAATACATGTATGTGGCAGCTGAGATTGTATCCGTATTTTAGCTAGAAGAATACATGTATGTACCAGCTGAGACTGTATCTGTATGTTAGCTAGAAGAATACATGTATGTACCAGCTGAGACTGTATCTGTATGTTAGCTGGAAGAATACATGTATGTACCAGCTGAGACTGTATCTGTATGTTAGCTGGAAGAATACATGTATGTACCAGCTGAGATTGTATCCGTATTTTAGCTAGAAGAATACATGTATGTACCAGCTGAGACTGTATCCGTATTTTAGCTAGAAGAATACATGTATGTACCAGCTGAGACTGTATCTGTATGTTAGCTAGAAGAATACATGTATGTACCAGCTGAGACTGTATCTGTATGTTAGCTGGAAGAATACATGTATGTACCAGCTGAGATTGTATCCGTATTTTAGCTAGAAGAATACATGTATGTACCAGCTGAGATTGTATCCTTATTTTAGCTAGAAGAATACATGTATGTACCAGCTGAGATTGTATCTGTATGTTAGCTAGAAGAATAAGTTTGTGTGCAAGCTGAGATTGTATCTGTATGTTAGCTAGAAGAATAAATGTGTGTACCAGCTGAGATTGTATCTGTATGTTAGCTAGAAGAATAAGTTTGTGTACCAGCTGAGATTGTATCTGTATGTTAGCTAGAAGAATAAATGTGTGTACCAGCTGAGATTGTATCTGTATGTTAGCTAGAAGAATAAATGTGTGTACCAGCTGAGATTGTATCTGTATGTTAGCTAGAAGAATAAATGTGTGTACCAGCTGAGATTGTATCTGTATGTTAGCTAGAAGAATAAGTTTGTGTACCAGCTGAGATTGTATCTGTATGTTAGCTAGAAAAATACACATGTGTGCCATCTCCTCAGTGAAGTTTGACTGCAGTCTTTGGAAATAGTGTGAGGTGAAACCCTAATTTTTCCCACATTCTGACTCATACTACTTTTTGAATCTATATGATTTTTATAAATGAACCTTTTTCCGCAGAAATCAAACCCTGTTTCATTGGAGATTGTGAAATTGTTAAACACATTTACGTACTCTAAGCTGTAGACCTGTGCATGTAGTTCATTATGTATGGTTATTTTGTTAAGTTTGGTATACTTACTGTTATGGTTGTTCCAGAAATGCTAATACAGCTTGTTTAGGCTTTGATGGGATGGGATTTCTCTGCAAAACCTCTTTATTCTTCATCTCTTGTTGTCTCACTGAGACCAGGTTGTGGCCCAGTGTCGTGGTTTTCTGTATTTGTCTTGCGCTTCTCGGCTGGCTTGGGTGATGGATTTGTTCATCTTTTTGTAGGTTTCAGCTACACAATTTATCCATCTCTTTCTTGGTCTTCCTTGTGTCTTCCTCCCAGATGTTCTAATGTAAAAAGTCTCATATGCGGTCTGGTCTGGCTGCATTCTCACTAGATGGCTGAACCATTTCAATCTTTGTCAATATATTCCAGACATTACCTTATTCCAACTTTCTCTCTAATGCTGGCATTCATAACCCTGTCTCTTCTTCTGTTGTTAGTGAGTGACCTTGCAGAGACAGCAGTTTGACATGCAGTTTTTTTTGGGGGGGGGGGGGGGGGGTCTGTTCCTGTCAGGGACCTAATTATTGTATATGGCTCGCTAGGTAGGCCAGCTGACAGACTTAACTACCCAGACACACCTAAGACAACACTCCTGCTGAGTACAAACATAATCTTTAATGTACAATTAACAACTAGACGTAAGACACTTCAACTGGGCTAAGCAGTTCCCATGGATCTAGGGAGCATGACTCTTAGCTGACAGTATCTCAGTGCCAATCAATCCGCCGTCTATTGCCAAACGGGACTCAGTGATACACGTAAGGTGTATGGCCTAAGCGTGACCGGGCAGTGTTACCGCCATTACAATGCGTGTCACTTTGATTAACTACTCAAACAAATACTGCATGGAATGTCTACTTCACAAAGAACCTTAACTCTATGTTATCTAGTCTAAACATTAAATATAAACACAGCCTATCGTCAATACTGCATGCAAATACCCTATTCCACCTAACCGTCGCTAAACCTAATTCTTACCTAGTCACTTGTACCGTCTTGTCTCTCTCTGTCTCCCCGCACAGAACTGTCTCAAAAACCAACTCGGACAAAGCCTTTTGTATTTCCCCCTGAGTTCACGGCTTAACACGCAGCAATCCGTGTCAACTGAGTGAACTAGACCTGGCCCGTTAACTGGGCCCAGTTCATTGCGTGGCCACGCTGTCCGCTCTCATACTGAGTTGTACTGAAGGTCAACTCGTACAAACGTGATGATACACTATCATCCGTGGTGTTTCCCATAGCCAAACTGGCCTCTGACAGTTCCATTGCCCTACTCATTGTCCATGTTTGACACTGATAACATAAAGTAGGGATAAAGATCCTATTAATCATTTGCTGTTTTGCTGGAAGGGAGACCTCTTTATAGAGAGAAAAAAACAACTTTAAGGATTTTACTGTATGCTTTGAATCAGCGAATCAGTCAAGCAGGTGCTGTCTCCACAAAAAAGGTGGTCTGTAGTGGATCAATGAGTCAAGCAGGTGTAGTCTCCACAAAGAAGGTTGGTTGTAGTGGATCGACGAGTCAAGCAGGTGCTGTCTCCACAAAGAAGGTTGGTTGTAGTGGATTGGCGAGTCAGTCAAGCAGGTGCTGTCTCCACAAAGAAGGTTGTTTGTAGTGGATTGACGAGTCAAGCAGGTGCTGTCTCCACAAAGAAGGTTGGTTGTAGTGGACCGACTTCATGCACTATCTTTTGCCCTAGATGGACTCCCTCTCATATTGCTTCATGTCCATCTCTTGATGTTATCCTTCCACTTGTGTATGCACTTTTTTTCTAATAAATCCTTCTTTATTTCACATCCTGACTTGTATGTAGGTCCTGCCTGGATGGAGTGTGATGACTTAAAGTCTGTGATAACCTGCTACTCCAACGTCTCCCCGAACATCCCGCCCAGCCAGGTGCACATGGTGATGTGGGAACGCCGGCTGACCCCACAGCACACGTTAGTCATGCGGGATACAGAGGACACCAAGCTGCTAGCCTCGCTGGTTCTGACTGTCCAGCAACCCAGTTCCCTTCAGTCAAGCACTCAGCAATCTGCTGAACAAGGTACTGCTCATTCCTTTAGAACAGGGCTATTCAGCTGTCTGCCCATGGATCCATTGCTAAGTATATAGTATTAATAAGCTTTCTATGCTTGGGCTCAAACCTCTGGCCCACCACGATCTCCATTTGCCAAACTGTGTCCCTGAGGAAACTTAGTTGAATGGTCCTGATTTAGAGTTTACTATTTAAGGACTGATGATGCATGCAGCAGGGTGTGTCTGCGGGCTGTGGGCACCACTTAAGACTTGGGAGGGAGATGGAGCTAATAGGGGCCTGTCCTTAATGCTGTGATGTTGGATCTTTACCACGTAAGTTTGGACTGAGCTGTGGCGAAGTGGTCAATCTGTTTGTATCATGCTCTAGAGGTTGTAGGATCGTTATTAAACGTTCAGTTCACATGAACAATTTTACCGAACCCCTGGGAATCATCTCTTGAGCTACGCGGTTGTGCTTTGTTTGAAGCTCTCTGCAGACGACTACACGCACTGCTGAGAGGGATCGAGCTGAATCGATAACCCATCCACTAATGTTGTGCCTCTTGACTTTTAATTTAGACCAAATAAATTACTGCACATTTGTTTGGTGTAAACTGGTCAAATTACATTGCTTTTTAGTTTGTTTTTGATTAGGTTGATCACAATAAACTTCCTTTTCGTGGTTTTTTTTTTTTTAATTTAGTTTTTAAACTTGTTTTTAGTGTCTAGTTGTAATAGTGATAGTTGTGATACTGTTTATGCAGTCGTTGCTAATTTAACAAGTACATATCACACTTTGTTTATGCTGTTTCGAAAGTGGATTCATTGCAAGTTTTTAATAGATTTATTATGGCTTATCTTTTCTTCATCGTATATGGAGTTTGTGGTCCGTACTTGGTGACAAAAAAGGAAATATGCCAGGTAATAAATTCTTTAATTTAAAAAAAAAGCGCACGCGCGCGCGGAGATAATAGGAAGAGCTAGAAAGTGAAGTGAAAAATAGAGAGGTCAAGGGGTGAGCTGCATGCAATAGCGTAGGATAGCATCAATTGGTGTGAGTTGATTTAAGGCCTATGCTCCCTTGAAGGGATTGAAGGCAGAAAAAGAGGAGAAAAGAATTTCTGCTGTCTGTTGTTTGTGTTTTATTTGTTCACATTTTACAACAGGAAAACACTGCTTTGACTTATATATGTTTACTGTAATTTTGTCAAGACATGCTGACACTATAAACATCTTGTTTCTTTTAATTAGTTGCAAGACCAGCTGGAGGTCTAGGTACCCCTGGTGCAGCAGCAGCAAGCCCAGTTACCACTCTCGCACAGTCTACAAATACTCAGACCGGACTCTCCAGTCAAAGCCTGTCTACCTTCGCTGCTCGGGCTAGGGGTCAGGGCAAGGCCGCCAGAGGATCATTCAGTAGTCGCGGACAAGCGGTCTCGACCCCTGTCATCAGAAGAGTCACTCCGACAGTAACACAGCTGCTGTCTTCATCTGGTAGTACCAGCACATCCCCTCAAGTGATCCGTTTATCTGCTGTGCCTAGTCCTGGTTTGGGCCAGCGAGGTAGCACTGGACCGACAAGATATGTGTTGGTTGGGAACAATTCTGGCACCCCCACACGAACAAATCCAGCCAGCAAAGTAGTAGTGGTCAGGTCTCAGGGAGGGGCTTCAAGTATCTCGGCTACGCAGTTACTGCAGCTGCTTCAGCGAACTGGGGCCATCAGCCAGCCAGGATCACGCATCACCACCACTGTTACCACATCTGGAGCACACTCAGAGGGTGCACCGTCTTCCACCACATCCTACATAATACAACAGGATGGTACCATTGTTGCAACACCAGCTAATGCAGAGGTGTCTGGAAACAGCCAAGCATCTTTGGAGAAGACCATGTCAAGCCAGACTCAGGCTAGTAGCTCATTGTTAGGTTCCAGTAATGAGCAGGGTGGTGACTGTAACATGGAAACAGAATCTGTGGAGACTCAGCATCACGACCTCGTGAAATCATCTGTTCCAGCCCAGCATACCATCTCAACCTTGCCATACTTGAGCAACACAGCAACAGCTCAGACACAGAGTGATGATATTAATACCCAGTCTCCACAGTCAGTAGCAGCAGAGGTATCAGCTTCCTCTGGCAGCAGAGAAGCGCAGGTGGCAAGTGGGCAGACTGTAACCTCCACTCGGCAGCCTAGCAGGTACATCCAAGTTCCTAATCCAGCAGGAGGAGGCCACCTGCTGTGTCAGCTTGTCATGAGAGATGGGAAGATGGTACTGGTGCCAGTTGACAAGAACATTCACACACAGGTCAGCGGCACATCCATTCTCAAGCTGTCCACCCCACCATCCCCAAAGATCACAATAAGGGTTCCGACTACCAGTTCACAAGCATCCCCTTCGACCGGAGCTTTTAGCCAGCTGCAGCAGCAGTTGTTGCAGACCCAGAGTGGTAGTTCCGGAACTAACACAGGCACCAGAATAATCACCCTTCCAGGAACTGCTGGCAACAAAAAAATCCAGCTGATCACGGTGCCACGTGGAGTCAGCACCTCACAGCCCAACCAGCAAGGCACCAGGACGATTATCATGAATGCCGCTAGTGGCCAGCAGACTTCATCCGCCTCCACGCCCAGTATTATCACCAGGCTGGTTTCTCCAGGGGAGGGTGCAGCAGCGTCTGACAGTCGCATCCTGTCGCAGTCGGGTAACATTGTCATTCGTGAACTCAAACAAATGGATGGAGACAGTGTGGCCTCTATGAGCCCTACTGATGTGGCGGGGGATCTAAGTGCAGGATCGCCACAGACAGTGTCTGTGTTCAGGGATGCAGCATCAAGGCCCACGACTGCCTTGGTGGGGACTTCCTTGCTGACATCTCCAAGTAGGCAGCAGAAGGCTTCAGAGAATTTTAGGTATGTTTTTTTTGGGGTCCTAAACATTAGCCCATTTTTTGTTTCTTCCTTCTCTCTCTCTCTCTATCACATCTCTCTCTTTTTTTTCCCTACCTGTTACCCATATTCAATCACATAAAAAAAATGTTTAAATTAGTGATGTCCGAGTGTGGGTTCTAGAGCCCCATATTGATCGCAAAACATAAAAAGACCCACTGCCCCACAACAAGAATGTCGTAAATGTCACCTTGAGGTGCTTTCCTAAAAGTCAGAATTCATCTGCCTGAGGTGAGAAACCAACAGTCTAATATATATATATTAGAAAAAAAAATATACTATATATATATATATATTAGAAAAAAATATACTATATATATATATATAAGAAAAAAATTACTATATATATATATTAGAAAAAAATATACTATATATATATATATATATATATATATATATATATATATATATATATATATATATATATATATATATATATATATATATATATATATATATATATATATATAGTACCAGGCACCAATGGATCTATCTGTCTGAAGTAGTTTGATGATAATCCTCATTAATTACTAATTTCTTGTTCTTTGCGTTCATCAGTTGTCAACTTTGTGGAAGGTCCTAGATCTTAGTTCACGTCTTGTTCCGGACCCTGACTTTTGAATGCTTTCAATTTGACAGATCTGGCTTATTTGTGTGTAGACCAAATTAAACATTTGAGGCCGTAGGAGCCTTATATATATGAATGCAAAGAAGAAGAAATGAGTCATTAATGAGGATACCCCCATTTGGGTTCCGGGGCCCTATTATAGGGAAAACAAGAATAGACCCACTGCCTGCCCAAAAGCGTGTCGTAAGAGTCGACTAATTGGGAGCTTCCTTCGAAGTCGGAGTGCATCTGCCTGAGAGGCAAGGAACCAACAGTCTACACTCCTGTGTGTCAGATCTGTCAAACGGATGCACACGCAACACTCAGGTTCTGGAACAGGACTCAGTCCAAAAGTGGACGAACAACCAGAACTTTCCACCAGAGTTTACTGCTGGTAAACGCAAAGAAGAAGAAGATTAATGAGGACTATCATCACAGTCCTTCACATCACAGATCTAACAGTACCTCGTCCTCACAATAGTGGCTCCTTTAGTGTACAATTACCAGTCACGCCTGTTCTGTGTTGATTGATGAAACATCTTCTACCTTCAGTAAAATGCTCATGTCTAATCGCTCCAGGTTGGAGCTTCTACATATCTGCCAACTTTGACAGGGTTGTGAGTGTCACCATAATTGTCTTTGCAATCTGTATCTCACATGGCAGTGATGACATCGCTCCTGGCCAGTGCCAGACCAGTCATAGTAACCACAATATCATCCACATAATTATTTACCAGAGACTTTAGCAGCCAAACTTGTTGGAAAACACCATATAATGTATACATATATTCAAAAATTCACTTATTCTTGACAGTCATGACGTAAAAGACAACTCATTAAGTGTAAAATTCACTTATTCTTGACAGTCATGATGTAAAAGACAACTCATTGAGTGTAAAATTCACTTATTCTTAACAGTCATGTCGTAAAAGTAAACTAATTAAGTGTGTAAAATTCACTTATTCTTGACAGTCATGTCGTAAAAGACAACTCATTAAGTGTGTAAGAACAAGATGGGAAGAAAACATCAGAGAAACTACAGCATTAAGATGTGTCTGTGGTCGAAGCAGCCAGAAGAGCAAGAAGCATGACCTTATATCTCTCTCGACACCCAAAGCGGTAAGAAAAGACTTGAAGAAGAAGAATAGTGTCTTCTCTGACATGGAGTACATGTGCCTGAGAGGCAACAGTCTGCATACAAATAAGCTGTCTGTAAAACAGATTAGGTATGCAAAAAGTCTCAAGTTCTGAAACAAGTCCTAAGTCCAGAAGTGGAAGAACAACCAAAACTTTCCACCGGAGTTTACAGTCCGTGAATGCAAAGAGCAACAACTTTGAATTATAGCAACTTCTAGAAAATATAAGTAAAAATGTTTTAATTCAATCAGTCTCAGTGAGGCTGTAGTCTTCTTCTTGCGTTCGCTTTCTGATTTACCCCGACAGACAGGCTCTTGTGATAAACTTCACTGTTTTAGGAATTCATAGTCTCAGGCTTGCTGTACTTGAGCCTAAAGTTTGTTTTCAGAACTTATATGGGCACCTAGGTTGATTTGAATCGGCCTGCCTTGTTTAATTTTAATTGCATTAATTATGATTCTTCACACTAATTTGAGATTAGATAGATACCTTAAATTAGATGAAAAACTGTTTCGGGAAATTAGATGTAGAGTCAAGATATAGAAGCTCGAAGACTGAACATTGTTCTTCTTCTTTATGCAATCACCAGCTGTAAACGCCATGGTATAAGTTCTGGTTGTTCTTTGGCTGCTGAATTAGATTGTTGGGCTGAAAGATACATATATGCTGCGTGTATCAGGGTTTTTTGAGTTACTTTGTTTATTGTTGTTGTTGTTTGTATTCGCTGTCAGTAAAATCAGCTGGAAGACCCAGTTATTCGTCCATTTCTGGACTTTGGCTTTGTTTCAGGGCCGGAGTTTTGCGTGTGCATCCGTTTTACAGATCTTGCTTATTGATATGCAGACTGTTTATTCCTTGCTTATCAGGCAGATGCACTCTGACTTCGAAGGAGGCTCCCACTTAGTCGCCTTTTTTACGACATTCTTGTTAGGGTGGCAGTGAGTCTATTCTTGTTTTCCCCCACAATAGGTCCCCGGAGCCCACACAGGGAGACTTACTTTGTTTAAAAAAGAGTAACAGTGTTTAACACTTTGTATTCTAATATTATTTTGTTTTTGTTTCTGAAACCATCACAGGTACATATTGCCTGGATCAAACACCACACACATTTTACATGCTGGCACTGCAGCAGTTCAGGGTGGTCTTGGACAGGCAGGGAAGGCATTCACTGCCTTATCCTCCTCTGGCACCATCATTGGTGGTCAGTTGACGCCCTCACCTACTACTGCATCTGTTGAAACATCCCCAATGGATCAAGACTTGAGTTTGGGCAGCTCAGATGACAACAGCCAAGGAATGAGCATTCTACCACACAGACGTCAGTTGAGTAGGGAGCTGGATACAACTGAGTACATCCCGCTGGGTCGCAGCCACGGAAGAGGACGGGGAAGTCACAGAGGTGGTAGGGGCCGCGGTGCTCGAACTCCCAGGGGTAGAGGCAGGTCTCAGCTTTGGACGTCTGATGCAGAATTAATCGCGGCAGCGCAAGGAAGCGAGAGAAAAATTTCCACTTTGGCAGACCTGCGCCAGATTGGAGCTCATGTTATAGAGGCTGGGTCAGAAACTGTGGATGGTGTGCCAGTTGTTTCCATTCCTGATTTTTCTACCGAAGGGACTGGTCAGAGTGAAATTCTTTCAGCAGCCCAGTCCATCATTTCAGATACTGCTGCTGGCACTTTTGGTCATGCACTAACTGATTTTTCAGATACTTCTACCCACTTAGGGCTCTCAGGTGCTGAACAAGATAACTTGACTTCAGAATCCCTTTTGGCCACACAGGGACCACGCGTTATCACACAGTCACTTCCATCAGTCAGAGTCAATCATGGATTTGACATCTTAACGCAGGGTATTCTGGGTGCTAGTAATGCTTCCAGACCTCCATTGAGACAGCGAAGTCTTCTGACTGGGGCCACCACGACACTTCACACAGCTTCATCACTGTTGTCGTCACTGACAGAAGCTAGTGCACCCTCCCTAATCTCTCCTGCAGCTACAGCTCAGCAGTCAGAAATTGACACCCTGATTCAAGCCGCTCAAGCTGCCGCCAAGCCTTCTTTAACCGGGTCACAGGCATTTGTGGTAGACAGAGATCGAAAGGAGGCGCGAGACTCTCTGGAGCTAACAAGCCAGCTAGTAGACACTGATTTTGGCAGTGAAGATCTGATAAAAGCTAGTGATGAAGAAGCCGCTTTAGGTGTGAATATTTCTAAAGACATCCTGGGAACAATGGACAGTGCACAGCTACAGCTGAAGAAGCAGGAAGAACTCAACGAAACTATTGTAAGTGTTGATGAAAGTCAAGTGAGTGCCGCAGAGAGGTACAGAATGCCCGTGGAGCTGTTTCAGCCAGACGAGGAGTCCCCAGAGAAATCCTTTAAGTTAGATGACACTGCAAGTAAATTAACAGTTGACCTTCCTTCTAAACTCTTTCAGGAATCTGTAACATCAGCAGATGGGGTCTCAAAATCACCACATCATCAGAGCAGAGATACGGGTTATCAAGCAGCATTGAAAGAGCCCAGATGGAGTAAAGGCCGCATCAAAGTACCTCCAGATTTTGCTCCTGGGATTGATGAACATGAGACCTCTATGGAAGTAGATCTGTTGACAAATGAAGATTCCACTTCAGCTTTATTGGAAGCTAACAGAAGTGGCGTAGGTATTAGAGACTCCACAAATGACACTGCAAAAAGTTCAGCTTTGAGGTTGTTAGATGAGTCGGTTACTGAGGCCCAGAGAGTCACAGAAGAGGAACAATCTGGCACAGAGGTGCCGCCAGTTAAAACTCGCAGGTCCAGAGGAAGACCTAAAGGCAGCACTGGGAAGCGAGGCAGAAAGAAATTCCACAGTGTCAGTACCCCCAGGGTCAGTACCCCTAGGGTTTCAGAATCTGCTGAGGCAATGATTGACGTATCTGCTCGTGCTGTTGAACCTGTTGTTTCACCAGAGACCTCATCCGATATAACCATCACTCATCCAGAGATGCAATCATTACAGCACTCGCCTAGAAGCAGCCCTGCAAAACACTTGAAACCCAGTTCTGCGGATGTCAGCTTTGCTTCAGATTTGGTGTTAAAATTTGATGATGATGATTATGAAGAAAAAGATACAGTTGAAGAAGATGACAAAAATTTGGTATGTGGTGCTGAAACTGTTCAAGAGAACACAGCAGTGTTATTTCAAAAGAGACCAGAACAGAGTCCACAAAGAGAGAAAATTATGGTGATAAAATGTTCTGTGTCTGGCCCTGCCTTTGTTCGTCATAAAACTGAAAAAGTCAGCTGGGATGGGAATTCGTGCACAGGCACAGTTTCTCGTTTTAACTATAGAGTTCTTTCTGGTAAGCCGGTAACATCTCAAAGTAGACATTTATCACTTGGTCCAAGAGAGGAATGTTTTACCTCGGTGCCCCCTCCGTATTCTGTGAGACGGTCTGAGATAAGTGATAAACCACAGACGCTGCCTGCTGTTGTGGTCAGGAGGCAGCAGAAACCCTTAGAGAAGCCTAAATCAGATCCTTCTAAAGTGCCCACAGTGGTTCCCTTGGTTATGGAAGACAACTGTGATCCCTCTTGTATTGGGGGATCGGTTGTTACCAGCCCTGATGGTGGGGAGGTGTTTGCTGGAACTGTGCTGAAACAGCGGGTGGAGATGGTGGATTGGAACACATCCAGTGATAAAGAGGAAGTCTTAGAAAATCTTACTGGAGAAGAGCTGAGGTTAGCACAGAGGCAATACCTCAGGCATTTGATGACTGGGTTATACATACAGGCTGGAGATTTCAGTTCTTTAGATGATGATAATAATGACGACTTTCAGGATGTGGAAAAAGAGGTGAAAGATGAAGAAAAAGAGGAAGAGGTAACTGTGGAGAAAAATGGGGAAGAGTTGGCTGAAGGATTAGAAAACTCCACAGAGGAAAAAGTGTGTGATCAAGTAGGTAAAGTTGATTTGTCTGTGACACTGGATGATGAAGAACTTCTTAAGAAAAGTTTTTCAAAGGACAGGCAAAAAAGGAAACACAGTCTGGAGTTAGCTTCTCCTGGTCAGGTTACAAAAAAATCCAGGTCATCACAAGATGAACAGAGCAACAGTCTTTTACAGAGTCCATCTAACTCTGCATTGTGTTCAGACTTGGAATCCGCCGACACTCCCATCACAGCTGTCTCTTCACGAATTAACGGCACTGACACTGCATCATCCCTGTCCCACTCGTGTCAGACCGCAGAGCCTGAACCAGGGGCACAGCCGAAAGAGGCACCCACACAGCAGCGTTTCAATTCCCCTTCTAGGCGATCAAGTCGGACCCCCATTCCTTCCAAAAAAGTTCTCGATGCTTGGGATGACTTCCCAGCCCGTTCAGCGCTTAAAGATAAAAGGACTTTATCGTTGAGCTCGGATGATGAACTATCGGGATACAGCAGTGGTGATGTTCAGCGAAAGAAACTAAAGACAAAACAATTTTCTGCATCTTAGCAGTGATTATGTTCCTTTATTTATGTTTCGACTGTACCTCATGGTTCACTTCTGTCAGTTGAGCACATTTAACGACCAGACATGTTACACTACCAGCTTATTTTAATTAGTCGCCTATCTAGTCTTTCTGTACTTTGCAACTCACCATATGTTTGTTCATTGTTTAGTCCAAAGACAGTACTGTGTAAGACAACTCTCCATTTTTTAAAGCCGAAAATAAATAAATAAATAATTTGAGCTTAAAATATTGGGAAAACATATTGTATGATACACGGAACAGTACAATACTTTTCGGGTTATTTTCCACCTTCTGTTAGAATTGTTAGTTTAGATCATACCATTAAATTATTTTCACTTCCTTGGGCTAAAACTTGCCAGTTTAAACTAGATTTTTTCAAGATTCAAAGAGTTATAGGTAATTGCAGGCTGGTGCCAAAAGAGTTAAAAGACAGTTTTCTGTGCCTGTGTGCATTTTAATTTGCTGTTGAGGTTTGAAGGTTAATTGTTTGGAAACTGTACCACTGTTGCACATACTTATGTAGGCGACCCTTCAGTCCCTGGGAACCACAGAGTTGTACTGGTTTTGGGAGAAGTGTCTCCTATGACTAAAGTCCAGTGTGGGAGCGGCAGTCTCTGCCGCATAGTCCACATACAAACTTTGATACTCTGTTGTACCGAGGCTATTTTTTTCTTTCTGACACTGGCTCTCTCCAGCTTGCTGCGTTTGGCCTCTTGTACCTTCTACATGGGGAATATTTTCACATTCTAATGAACAAAACAGAACAATACCTGGTGACAGCTAACTATTCCTTCACATTCTGAGCGCTTGAGATTTATTGCTGCAATCCCGCTTTCATCATTGCAATTGGTCGTGTCTTGCCAGTTGTTGACTGTATTTGTAGGCTTGCTTCGACATTCTGTCTTCGTGGTCTACCCTATGCGACTGACTCCCTTGTGTAGTCTCCTTCCCCCCCCCCCCCCCCCCCGGTCATCTGTCAACCTTTTTGTCTTCCCAAGTCATTTGTCTATTAGCCCTCATGATTCCAGCGATCAATGGCGATTTGAACAGATTATGAATTTCATTGTTGCCTCTCATTCTCCTTTTCCCGCTGTTTGCATATTTGCCAGGTCCAAAGATTTGTCATAAGATGGAGTAACATGACTGTTGGCTTCCCATTTTGAATATTTGCAGCAGTTGGATCCAGATACTGGTCTTTTGTCTTGTATGAAATAAAACACACTATTGCTCTGTCAAACCGGTGCTGTCTTTGCAATTAAGGTTGGCTGCATTAGATCTCTATCTCTTGTCTTAGTAGTAGCAGTACCATGTCTCACACAGCTGTTTATCTGTTGCGTTATCTTTGATTTTTTTCCTTCAGTTTGATTTTTAAAACAGTGGTATGTCATTTAGTGTGGTCCAAATATTTCAGTTGTTTCTCTCTTCTTCTGCCTTTTATCCCCCATCAGAGCATAGGCCTTCAACCAGCTTATGCCAAGTGGTTCTGTCCTTTGCTGTTGCATGCTGCTCACCCTATCTTTTTAACTTCACTCTCTAGCTCCTGTCTCCATGTGATTTTAGGTCTGTCTTTATTTCTTTGCCCCTGTGGGTTCCAGTGCAAAGACGTTATAGTTGTATTGTTGTTAGGTTTTCTCAACGTATATCCTATCCAGTGCAAGCATCTTTTCTGTACCTTTTGGTCCACAGGAACTTGCTCTTTCCCAGAGCTCTACATTTGTGATTCTATCCGTTTAATTCCCTCTATTCTGCGCAGGCACCAGTTAATGAATGTTTGTACTTAATTTTGTTGGTTCTCCATGTTTCTGCTCCATACAACAGTACAGATGTGACATTAGAATTCAACATTTTCAGTTGAGTGTTTGTTTTTCTTTTGACCTGCACCAATTTCCTATTCCTAGGGATATGAAAGTTCCTCTTGCCTTATGTATTTATATTTTCTCTCTCTTTTTATTCCCGGTCTCTCTAGAACTTAATTGTTTTTGTTCCCATTGATTGTTTTTGTTTCCATGAAATACGACTTTTTATTCTGTGTATCCACACTCCAGAGACTCCATTCGTTCTTATGATTGCTTAGTCATGGTAAAGGTTTCTGCACCTTACACCAAGATTAGACAATCTGCACATGTTTAATATGTTGTTTATCTCTCTGGCTGCATACTGCACTATATCATCATCAAAACCATTGCATTGTTCAAAGTGATATTTTGACTACATTTAATTGTCATTGTTCATTCAGTTGTGTCATTTTGCTTTAATGTTAATGATTTTTTTTTTTTTAAATGCAAGCATTGTTAATATTAGCATTGAATCATGTGTATGTTATGTTCTATGAATTGTTAAATAACTTGGATGCATTCAGTGTTTGGAAGCCTGATTTGTTTTTGTTTTAACACATATTTAAATATGCTAGTAAATGTTTTGCAGGGCAGATGAATATTTTTTGTTTATGAAATTTTTATTTTTATAAGAAGGGGAGATGGGTAAAACATAGGTGGCTGGGTTAATTACTGAATGGAACGTTGCAGGGAGATACTTGCTGAAAATCATTTAAAGTAGAGGAAAGGAAACAGTTGAAAATTTGCTGTCTGACTACATACTGGGAGGGAGAAGAAAATGACCTGCACAGAGAAAAAAACAGGAAAATAGGCAGCTTTTGAAAGGTGTACACAAAATTAGGTCATCTAAACTGAAGCAGGTTGAGATGTCTGTCTACTGGTGAAAATTATGGAGGGCAAAATCCAATGGAAAGAAGTTCAGGCGTGCAAAAACGTCAGGGAACTGGACTGATCATGTTTCATGTTTATCTGCTATCTGATTTGTCCTAATGACTGTGTATTGAAACTGAGCTTCAACACCATATCACGTTTATTAGTAATGCACATTGTTGTAACTAGACAGGCATAAAGAAATGTTGTGTCAAACACGTACATTACAGTGCTTAGGACTGCCCCTGTTTGTTTCAACATCCTTAAAGTTTCCAAGAATAAGGCTTATTGTTTCAGTGTAATACCATCCATGATGGTATAAGATATAGCGTCTAGCTGTAAACCGCAACACAACACACTAACACCCTTTTCAGAGCCAACACAGAAGAAGAATTAGTTGGACAAGAATAATAGAACAAATTTCCTGATGTAGGTTCTAGGTCCTTGCTGTTGGGGGGGAGGGGGGGGGGGTGTGTTTGACGCACTGCCACTCTATAACTAGCATATCGTAAAAGTCAACTAATTAGTGGTGTCTTTTTCAGAATCAGAGTGCATATACCTGGGGCCAGGAACTAACAACCTCCTGCCTATGAATGTCTGTCAGATATCTAAAATGGATGTGTAAATACTCGGGTTCTGTAAAAGAGTAAAGTCTAAAAGTGGGTGAACAATCAGAACATTCTGCTTGGAGTTTACAGCTAATAAGCGCAAAGAAGAAGTTAAGGTAGCACAGTTTTGGAATCAAAAGAAACAGTGCACACATCGCCAAGTCAAAGTCAGCGAGGATAATTTACTTTACAACTTCCGAAAGAATTTTTCTTTTCTTCCAGTTGGGGTTTTTTTTTTTTTAATGATTTCTTGGCCAGCAAATAATCACTAGTATTCTTAGTACATAACTATTGAGGCTAAGGAAGGGGGGGGGGGGGGGGGGGGGGGGACAGGGTAAAAGTGTCCACTGATGACTAGAAAACAGCTAGACCAGTGTGTTTTTTGAGCTACGAGAAAATAGTCATTGATTGCTTTTGCAGTTGTTTTTTTTTTTGTGTTCACCATAGTTGGCATGTTGTTTTGTGGTTCACAGCTACATTGTGATATCTGCACTTTTTGGCCATAAAACACATCTGATTTCAGCAAATTAAGTAGTCAATTTTTTGGTGATATTCTTGTTAAGGCATAGTGGGTCTATTCCTGACCTCTTCTCTCCTCTTCGACCCCCCCCCCCAAATCCCCCTTTTCTATTCCAGACTTGGCCTTGGAACACACATTGGGGAGACTAAGGTCAAAAAGATCACCACATGGCATCATTGTTGCCGTGTTTGGTTCTGGCATGGAAGTAATTGTGCATTTACATTTGACTCATTAGGTGGACCATGTTGGATTGCCAACATGTATTCAACATAAATAGATGTTCTGTATATACAAGGTCCGACATTTAAGTAATGAAACTGATTTTATTATGGCCAAGTCAAAAATGCCATCTATGAAGCAAAGTATGGAATCTAAAGAGGCAACATTCATCTATGATCTGGCAAATTTTCATCGCCGCTCGATAAGCAGACAACAAACAAGCTGCCATTTTGTTGACCTAGTCAGATGTGCATTGTTACATAATCAGCACAGAGCAGAAAAAGTCAGAAAAAGTTGAACTGATGCAACAAGTTTATGGAGATAATTGTTTATCTCGTGCACACATTTTGGTATTCACGATTAAGACGTGTGAAAATGATTAATAATGAACCTAGACCTGGACGCCAGATTTCTGTTTGTAATGATTAACTCATTGCAAAAGTCAGAGAACGGATACAAGAATATCATTGTTTTACTGTGAGGATGATGGCAGATGAATCTGATGTTGATCGAGAGACCATTCATAACATTTTAGTGCAAGATTTTGGCAAGAAAAAAGTTGCTTGCCGGTTTGTACCACATTCATTGTCTGATGACAAAAAACATCAGCAGATTGAGTACCCAAGAGACATAATAAAAACAAGAATTTTTGGCCCAAAAACAAGTGTGTGTTCTCAGCCTTCCACCCTATTCCTCAGATTTGTCTCCCTGTGATTATTATCTGTTCCCAAAATTAAAGTTACCATTGCATGGACGCTTCTTTAACGATATTGAAGACATCCACAGGGCCATAACAATAACAACAGAACTACAGAGGTCGTTCCAATGTTTGTTAGATCCTGCTACTTGCTGTATCAACGAACAAGGGGCTTACTTTGAATAAAATACAGTTTATATCTTCAACTGTTGAATATTTTAACTGTTATGCA